AAAAGGATCACGCTTTCAACTCTGCAATCTGGCAACCGTTTACACACGCTCTCTCTACACTGCGGAAGAAGAGAGGATGATCTGAAAACAGACAAATGTGTGAGCTGCAGTTTAGAGATCTCCATTTGAGATATTCTACTTTAATGAAAGAGTTAATCAGTCAGTTTGAACTTCCTGCGACTAAATCTGCGATCAAACCATCTCAGTGACGAACTGTAATTAATCCAAACACGGATCTTGGCTTTTTGAGATTGTGGTTTCTGCATAAATGCACTTCTGTGTGACAATAAAAAGTCATTTTGCAGGTGTTTTAATAGAAACACATTTACTAGGATTTGAGAAGTTTCTGTTTTTATCCTCAGGCCTATATGATAAATAGTCTTTATCTATGCCTCAGAATATTATTCTAACTCTATTTTTGTCTTATTGCCTGTTTTACTGTCTTCATATGACTTTCCGTTATTCTGTTTAGCACTTTGGGTAGCATTGCTACATTTAAACATGCTATATAAATAACATTTACTTGCTTACTTCTTTACTCTAGCTGTAGTTTGCCAAATAATTTTGTCACATAAATACCCTAAGCAAGTTCATTGTTTTGTTATTCCCTTATATTTATAATATTATATTATATAATTAAAAATATTTTCCTCATTTTTTGATAGTTTAATCGAATTTGTTGGGTCATAAAAAACAAACATCCCCTCTAAACATCACTTTGTACTGTGTATATTCTTCTTTTTATGGTCTACTAAAGAAACAAACGACCTGGAAAAACATGCAAGTAAACGATGACAGAAATGGTCTTCTGAGTTGCTTTAAGTTAGAGCGAGCTCGAGGTCCTCAGTGTCCTGCATGAAGAGAGAGAGAGAGAGACTCACCGGTGTGTTAGACTGGTCGATGAGTTTTCTCTCCCACATCTTTAACCGTCTCTCTCTTTCTCTCAGCTCTTGTTCTTTACAGCTCAGATCTCTCTCCAACCGCTTCAGACGTTCGAGAGTCGCCTCGATCTCACACCTGCTCACACAACACACATCATATTCATCAACATCATATCCCCATTCATTAACATAATCAATATTTATCAAGTGATTAGCTTACATTATTCTGTTTCATATGTTTTTATTGGTATGCACAAACACATTTGTGTACAACCTTTTATAAAACAAAAGAAAAGCGGAAAAAAAATAAAATAAAATATTAAAATAAAATAAAATTGGTGTGAGTTGGAGTTAGGCCTAGTTAGCCTGGAAAATAGTATAAATGGTTGCCATTTATTGTAAAATTTGGCGAGATTACCTTGTTTAGAGTATG